ATTTTGGAGAGAAAAAGTGCGTCTTATACGGCGAAAAATACGGTAAATAACTTTTTTTACCATTTTAAATTTCCAATTAAATGAAGTTCAGTTTCAAATTCTATCAAAATATAGAAAACTTTAATTCTAATGATTGAAATATGTATGTGTATAATATTTTTTATGTTAGTTTTTATTCTTCCTGTTCTCCTCCCATCTATTCAATTGTTCTGCTCCTTATACAATTCAGTTTGTTAACAAATGAATAGTTATAAGAATAGAATAAAATGCTACTTGTGTGGATAATTATGTTAAATTTTCAATTGACTATTAATATGTCTCAAAACCAAACTTATCATAACAATCACAAATGGCTTTAAGGTGACTGTTGTATGATTTCAATTTTGTTGATGTGTCTCTGTAGATATAATATTGTACCCAACTGAAGAGGGATGAATGTATACATCTGAAATGCATATTGGAGTCAATAAAATTGAAATGATAAAACAGTCACCTTAAAGTCATTTATGGTTGTTATGATAAGTTTGGTTTAGAGACATATTAATAGCCAATTAAAAATTTAAATGAATAGTTGTGCATGGCAGGTCTTACATGAAAAAAAATGCAGAAGTTTTAGCAGGATAAGAGATAACTAAACAAATAAGTAAGAAAATAGAATTATGTAGGTATATATTTATGGTAATTTACTCAAGTTAATTACAGAATGAGCAATTTGTTTACAAAATAATAGAAACTAAAGATACAGTATTAAATGATTATATGTATAGTATAGGTTTATGTAGGTACTGCGTATTATACAATAGAAGAAATAGTCAGATTTGTCAGTTGTTTTATGGCTGGTGTCATTCCTGATGCCACTCTCTCTCTCTCTTTTTATCTGTATTTGAGACTGGCCAGAATAATTGCATTCTGTATGGGATCAACAAAACATGATTTTTCTCTCATCTCTAGCTGTGGTATCAGCTAGGCTTTATACATACCACTAGGTTTAATCTTTAACTTTGATGATTTGAAAGTGAGTCCATTGAGAGTTAATCATTGTGCTTAAAAAATTATTTATATTTGTATGTACACATTATCTGTTTTATTTTCATTCTTTATCTAGCATTGTCTTTTGTATTCCCTCTTTCTCTATTTATTAAATTCTTGTTAGGTGACACTGAGACTAATTCGCTTTATTTTAAATATAGACATTTAGACATTTTTCTAAATTATATAAATTTTTAGTTTGTAACATGTAAGCCAAAGAAAGGAAGAGAACACTACCAAAGTCCTCTATCTGTATTAACTGGATTTATTTTCAAGGTTCTTCCTTGGGAAGGACACTTGAAAGTAGTATATTTAAAATATAAAAAATACCATAAACCCAGTTAACAGAGAATATTTTGTTTGCTGATGTTTTCTTCCTATCTAGGCTTGAAAATTATAAACAAAAAGTTTACATTATTTAGAGATATGTTTAAATAATTTATGAATATTGTAGAAGAAATTAATGTAGTGAAATAAAAGTTAACATTAGCCAAATAAATATGTTGTCATGTCTATATATCAACATTTGTGTTGTTAAGACACTATTAATTGTTGAATTTTGACATGATATATATTGAATATATTGTAAATTTTAAAAAATTCTATATAATAAATATTTTGTTTAAAAATGCCAAAATGAATTTTCTCAGTTTTTTAAATGTAATATTTATATTGTTTCATAAAACTTTGCTGGGAGTTACACATTATTTGAATGGAGCTCTAGAGTGTAAACAGAGTATATGTCTGTGACCTGACTGTACTTCACATCCTGTTAAATTTATGTAACCTATGTCCTTCACTTACTAACAGACTCATCTTTACTACTGCACATTACAGCAGCCTGATTGAGATTCATGAAATTATTTATATATTTACAAATTTCCAATTTGAAAATACAAAATTATATAATATATATAGATATAAATATAGTTTACATTTCAGCAATGTTTAAGCTCATAAATAATCTTAGATATCTTTAAGAATTTTGTTTTTATTAATAATTGTTTGCTGAGAAATTTAGAAATAATGTAATTAAACGTACACAAATTAGGCATCATAAAAAGTTCAAAGTACCACATATTTTAAAATTCTGTTATTTCAAGAAAATTGTTTAAAATTATTATATTATATTATCTTTTTTAATTAACTACTTTGATAAAATTTTTACTTTAAAATAAATAAATAACATATTTTTAGAGTTTCTTCAGAATTCAAAATTATTTACTAAAAATAGTAATAATGCTTATTCTTATTTTTAGCTTTAAAATGCTACTGCAATACTTGCCCCGAACAAAATTTTACTTGTGAAACAGATGGACTCTGTTTTCTTTCCACATCAAAGGCCGAGAACGGAGAAATTACTCGTACATATCGGTAAGAAATTTTCATTTATTTACTTTCAATTTTTCAAAATAAATAATAGGATATTGACACGTAACTTTTATTGTTTTAAATATGTCGTAATAAAAGTGCTGAAGTTTTTGTAAATAATCTTTGTACTTCTTAGTAATAAATATAGAATTAAATTGCATTTTCAAGGCAAAAAATAATATTTTGACAGTTTTAAAGTAAATTAACAACTGATCCAAGTATATGTATTTTTTTAAAAAATATATAAGCATATAATAAAGATAAGATTGATTTTTGATCATAAAATGTATCTATGCCAAATTAATTAAATGAGGAGATTGAAATTTATAATGTAGAATTATAAGAAAACATAATTTCAGTCATGAATAGTTTGTTCATACTCAATAAGGAAATAATTTTTTTGAAGTGTGAATAATTCTAAAATAAATAGTTGTAAAGTTCAGTTGTTTAGTATATAGCCATTTACTAAAAATCTTTGATTATACTCAAATTTAAATCGTTATGAATGTTAATTTTTGAATTATAGCATTAATTATAATAAATCTAATGTATTATTATTTATATTATTTTCTTTTATTTGTTTTAGCTGTTTGAATACTAGCAAAAATTTTCCTCCAGAAAATCCGTTGGTTTGTTATACTTCTGCCAGTTGTTGCGGAAATTATAATTTTTGTAATAGGGATCTTCAGTCAGCTTTTCCTTATGAACAAGGTCAGTTATTTAAATTTTAGAACATTATTTTTCAATATTTACCATTGAAATGTAAAGAATTAATAAATATAAACAAGTATTTAAAGAAATAATTAAGAAAATATGCCCAATTTATTTACAATTTTTATATTCTTTAGACAATGTAGTGAATCTGTAAACACCAATTCAAATCTGTAAACACCTTTAGAAAACTGGACTAGAAAGCAAATCATAATTTTTATTTACGAAATAATTCAAAGGATTTACATTATTTATTATTGTTATTGTTATATTTTATATTTCTCATCTTTGGAACAAGCATCAAAGTTTAAACAATTGAAGGGGTAATCATATTTCTCATTGAACGTTAGTAATTCAAAAGAACGTTGTATTTATAAATTAATTTTATTTTTCCTAAAAGTGTTTTGCTTTGTGCAGCTGTTGTTTTCATAAAAGATTGCAGACAATTGTATTAATCTACTTATTTACAAAATCAACTACAGAAATAAAGCATTAGTATCATTGTTTGTTTATTAGTGTAATGTCTATAGACATATAAAATAAAATATGTTATATGTATATATATTAAAAAAATGCTCATTTATTATAATTATTGTGAATAAGTCGGCAAATTTAAAAATATATTTTATTAATGCCGCTGTAACAGAAAGTCAATGTATATTATTATTTTTCTGTTTTTTCTAACTTTTTATAGAAATGTCTTCGTGATTTATTTTTGAATATCATATTAACTGTAATTCGAGTTATTATTATAGTGTAAGAGAAGTAAAAAAATAAATTTAAATATATTTAATGTTACATATCCATGAAGAAATTAATATTTGTGCTTGAGGAATTTAAAAAATAAAGACATTACACATTTTAAAAAAAAATTTATTAAAATAAGTGCTGGTTTATACTTTGTTATGTGTTTAATATTTTAATGTTAATCTCTCAAGAGAAGTTTATCTTAAATTTAAAAGTTTCTTTCGGTACATGGAAATTGCTTAAAAAGTTTGTTTACATTACAAATAAGAATTATTATTTATATATATGAAGTGTTTCTTATGTCAGTGAACTGCTTTATGTTTGTTCGTTAATTTATTTCTTTTGCATGTCTGTTTATTTCTTAGATGATTTATATCTATAGAAAAAAATGCCATTACTCCTTCTCAAATTTAGCAAAGATTTCTTTATGTTAATTTAGAATGTCTGCATTTGTAATTAATATTTATCCTTAATTTTTTTTTGCCCGATCTATGATTGCCATAATATTACTTTTTGAATTTTTAAAAATTCAGGAAGATTTCTTATAAATAAAACATGAAATTTATTGCAATGTAATAGTTTTGTTCTTTTACAGATGAACAAAGTAAAGATACATCTACCTTGGGTCCAGTTGAATTAGTTATATTGATTGGAGGACCTATCTGTGTGTTTTTTATCGCTTTTATGATCGGCATTTCGATATGGCATCAAAAACAGAGATTAAGAAGATACAGATCTGAAGTTGAAGCGACAATTGAATGCGGTGATCAGCCTTACGGACAGACGTTAAAAGATTTGATGGAAATAACCACTTCTGGTTCTGGTTCAGGTAGAAAATAATAGAAACATCAATAAATATTAATGAATTTAATAACAATTAATTTATTAAATAGATTTTAAAGTATATATTTTGATGTTTAAGGTCTTCCTTTACTCGTTCAACGAAGCATTGCTCGTCAAATTCAATTGATAGATGTGATAGGCAAAGGGAGATTTGGAGAAGTATGGAAAGGGCACTGGAGAGGTGAAACCGTGGCTGTAAAAATATTTTTTTCAAGAGACGAGAGATCGTGGTTTCGAGAAGTGGAAATATATCAAACTGTGATGTTAAGACACGATAATATTCTTGGTTTTGTGGCAGCTGATAATAAAGGTTTGTAAAAAAATTTATTTATGTAAGATAAACATCTAAAAGTAACATTAGAATAATTCCACAGACATTTTTATGTACCATAATGTTTTATAATGTCATTAATATTGATTTTATTTCTGATATTAGACATTTAAGAATTAAAAATATGAAACACTATAATAAAACAACAGTATTGAACAAAACATCATTTTATTTTAAAATTTTACTATGTTGCACTGCATTGTAATGGCATATTGTTAATCATGAAATAGTGAAGTTTATTCAAAATAAATTAATGAATTTTTATTGAAAAATTATTTTTATGGGTTGATTTCTTTGTTGTGTTATAAAAAGATGACATTGTTTCATTTATTTGTGAAAAAATAAATGCATTATTTGACTTATATATAGCTGAAGAACTGGATAACAATCAGTTTCTTTTTATTGGTTAGATAAAACAGAAGCATGATTCTTCAATATAAGTAAACAATTACTTGATATTAAATTTACACAATTTATTATTGAGAGCTATGTTAAATAATTTCCATTTTTACAAAAAGAAAAAGAATAATACTAACAATTATAACAATGTTCTAAAAAAACATGTATTACTAAGGAAACAAAAATATTATTTTTGTTATGTATCTAATACTTGGAAATTCAATAGTTATTGAACTTTCATGTTTTGTAATTAGGATTTATCTTTTGAAAAGTTCATATTTTTCTACTAGCATATTAAAGAAAGAGATATTTATTTTCAAATTAATAAAATATGTAAATAGTATATGCTGAATTTTTATGGTGCAAATTTATTTTATACAAATGGTTAAAGTATAACACAAGATGTTTGAGAAAGGTCATTTATGTATTTAAATAAACAATACATTAACTACATAGACATGCATTAAAATTTAATAGTTTTTTAGATTTAATTTTCTTTTATGGTACATGTTTTTTACATGTTTAATATACTATAAAATTGATTTGTTCCATTTATAATAAATTTATCATTGATTATTTACTCAGAAACTGTTATACATATTTATTTCACTAAATAAATACTTATAAATTGTTTATGAGTAAATATTTGTGTATGTTTAATGTTTTCAACAAAAATTGGCAGATATTCTTATATGGACTGAGTTATAGATCATTAGTTAAGTATTAGTTTGTGTTTAATTAATTGCCGAAATTGTTTTTTGTGACTCATAAATAATCTTCCTTGTCTACACTTCTATGAAATATACAATGATATATATATGATAGGAATTATAGATTTATTATTAATAAGTTAGTCATGTTTAAAATTTGTCCAAATTTAGATGACATTCAAGTAAAGTTTATAAGTATTATAACACTTAAAACTTTTGTAGAAAATAATGACAATTTATTATGAATAACATATATATGTGAAATTAACATATGAAAAAGTTTTGTATATAAAAAACCTCACAAATTGAACAATTTTTTTTATTTTAATAATAGTCTTTAATATAAATCACCAAGGAAGTTCTAGAATGCTATATAATTATACTGTACCAGCTAGAATTTCCACTTTTTACTTATAAAATTACATAACTAATCACAGTCTTTTGTTTATCTTTATTGAGGTTAGAATATATTGAATTTTACTGTATCCCTTCAGTATGACTCCCAATATCACATCTTCACTTCTAGGAAATCCTCAATATCATTGATATGTAAATTTTGTGATAACCACCCTTCATTTACATCGTCACAATGATAGATATGGTAGAATAGTAGTTTCAACCTTTTCTCAAAGCCGGTACCTTAACTGGCTGACTTTGGTACATGCAATACTCCTGTTACTCAATAATTAATTTAAAATTTAAATAAATTGTTGTAACACGCTTCTAGGAATGCTGAAACATTTTGGTGCTCTTGAAAATCAAGTTGATAACAACTGGAGAATTACATTATTATTATTATTATTATTAACCAAAAGCACACTTACCGTATTTTTCGCCGTATAAGACGCAGGCACTTTTTTCCCCCCGATTTTGGAGAGAAAAAGTGCGTCTTATACGGCGAAAAATACGGTAAATAACTTTTTTTACCATTTTAAATTTCCAATTAAATGAAGTTCAGTTTCAAATTCTATCAAAATATAGAAAACTTTAATTCTAATGATTGAAATATGTATGTGTATAATATTTTTTATGTTAGTTTTTATTCTTCCTGTTCTCCTCCCATCTATTCAATTGTTCTGCTCCTTATACAATTCAGTTTGTTAACAAATGAATAGTTATAAGAATAGAATAAAATGCTACTTGTGTGGATAATTATGTTAAATTTTCAATTGACTATTAATATGTCTCAAAACCAAACTTATCATAACAATCACAAATGGCTTTAAGGTGACTGTTGTATGATTTCAATTTTGTTGATGTGTCTCTGTAGATATAATATTGTACCCAACTGAAGAGGGATGAATGTATACATCTGAAATGCATATTGGAGTCAATAAAATTGAAATGATAAAACAGTCACCTTAAAGTCATTTATGGTTGTTATGATAAGTTTGGTTTAGAGACATATTAATAGCCAATTAAAAATTTAAATGAATAGTTGTGCATGGCAGGTCTTACATGAAAAAAAATGCAGAAGTTTTAGCAGGATAAGAGATAACTAAACAAATAAGTAAGAAAATAGAATTATGTAGGTATATATTTATGGTAATTTACTCAAGTTAATTACAGAATGAGCAATTTGTTTACAAAATAATAGAAACTAAAGATACAGTATTAAATGATTATATGTATAGTATAGGTTTATGTAGGTACTGCGTATTATACAATAGAAGAAATAGTCAGATTTGTCAGTTGTTTTATGGCTGGTGTCATTCCTGATGCCACTCTCTCTCTCTCTTTTTATCTGTATTTGAGACTGGCCAGAATAATTGCATTCTGTATGGGATCAACAAAACATGATTTTTCTCTCATCTCTAGCTGTGGTATCAGCTAGGCTTTATACATACCACTAGGTTTAATCTTTAACTTTGATGATTTGAAAGTGAGTCCATTGAGAGTTAATCATTGTGCTTAAAAAATTATTTATATTTGTATGTACACATTATCTGTTTTATTTTCATTCTTTATCTAGCATTGTCTTTTGTATTCCCTCTTTCTCTATTTATTAAATTCTTGTTAGGTGACACTGAGACTAATTCGCTTTATTTTAAATATAGACATTTAGACATTTTTCTAAATTATATAAATTTTTAGTTTGTAACATGTAAGCCAAAGAAAGGAAGAGAACACTACCAAAGTCCTCTATCTGTATTAACTGGATTTATTTTCAAGGTTCTTCCTTGGGAAGGACACTTGAAAGTAGTATATTTAAAATATAAAAAATACCATAAACCCAGTTAACAGAGAATATTTTGTTTGCTGATGTTTTCTTCCTATCTAG